CTGTGGGTCGCCGCTCACCACCCCACAGCCAATACCGTTGGCAGGGTCTGCGGGCAGTCCGCGATAGCCGCTGGATGCTGCTGACACTGCTGGCAGTGCCGGCAGGTGGTTGCCAACCCCTGGTAAGCACTCGTCACCCTCCCCTATCCCCACTGCCAACAGTACTGGCAGCATCTGCGGGAGCTCTGCGCTTACCGCTTCCACCGCTCCTGCTGCCGCCGCTGTGCCCCCCCAACCGCCAGGGGCATGTGCCGTTCATGTCCAATACTTCGCTAGCAGTCATATCTACATCTGAGTTAACATTACCACACCTGAGTTAAGGTTTTTAGCAAAGAACATCCTGCAGGGCTGTGCAGTAGAAGAGACATTACCAGAAATAGCTAAGAGACAGCAATATTGCAGAAGAAAGGATCGTTTGAATATCTGACCATTAACCTGAGAAGAGAGTCATTAATACCCATGGTGGAGTGAACGATATCCATGAGCCATGAAGTCAATTGACTCCCTCAGTGCTACCTCAACAGAAATGCCACTGGCCCTCCCAGACAGTTGGTTTTAAAGTTTCGGTGGAGCAGATCTAAGGAGGTAGGGAAATATCTGCAAGAGCTCTTCTTTTCCTGAGTGGTCCTGCAGTTCTGTGAGAGACAGCTGTGATTTGGTTGTTTGCCTAGATCAGTGATTCTCAACTAGGGTGCTGGGCTAAGCAAGGTGTGAGGAAGTACGCTGATAAAAGCAGGCTCAAGCTTCAAGTATGAGGAGGTAAGCAGATAAGAGCAGGCTCAGGCTGTCCCTGCCTAGCTGCTTCCCCACCCCCACCGCTGCCCCTGCTGCAGAGAAGTGAGGCCTGTAAGAAATACATTCGTTTTTGAAATGGGGTGCCTCTCGGTTCACAAAAGTTATGGAGGGGTGCCTTAAGTTTGATGAGGGGTGCTTTGAGTCTAAAAACATTGAGAACCACTGCCCCACATTGGGACTTTACACCCATGGAAATAGTTAGCTAACTAATGAGGTGCCAGTCACTGCTGTGTAAGAATATGTACATATGCACACACATGTCTTTTTCATAGGTGGTCTCTCTCTGTCTCCTTGCAGTTTTCTATCTCAGGGCTGTCCCTGCACAGTCAGTGGGCCTGGGGACCATATGCTTCCCACTGCACTATGTAGTCAGATGCCTCTCACCCTCACCCCACTGCACCCTGCACCTCAACGCAGCACCAGGGGAAGAACTTCCCTTAAAAATTCATTTCTCCATCATTCCAAAACTGAAAAGGACAGGTTGTCAGCTGATATCCCTCAGTCTGGCTCCCTTGACTTCAATGACCCTGGACTGTTATAGTTCAGGCAGAGATCTGATCCAATACAGCCTCTTTGTCTCACAAGCTTACAAGTTTGAAACAACATCTAAAAATCTCAGTTTTCTGGTCATTTTGTATTCTGCTGTGCATATTTTGCACGCATCTGCTCTTCTTGTGAGAATGAGGCTGATTCAGCACATTTCATTTCCTGTGCTTCCTTTTTTTACGTATATAAAAAAGTATTTTTCCTATTAAAAAAGTGTCTGCTGTAAGGGCCTGATGAGGAGTGTTTTCTGGTAAAGACTGCATGACAGTTCAAAAAGCCCCCCAGGGAAATGCAAGATGTTCAAAAGGGGGGCTAAACTCATCATTGCAGAATATCTTTAAATAGAGATTAGATATCTTTCTGAAAGCCATGCTCTAGTCCACCAGTGCTGAAAGTTTTTTTTACAAATGGGACAACCTTGACATCAGAAATGGGCCAAGAGCCAGGAGAGAGGTGAGTGGGGAGTGGCTACACCCCTTTCATTTTTTTGGCACATGCTCAGTGAGCTCTCTGGTATGTCAGCATGGCTCCTGTTGGCATCTGTGCAGTGAGAACTCAATGGCATGTCAGCGTGGGCTCTGCTGTTGTGTGACTCTGGAGCCGAGGGACTAAATACTTCCACCACTCATCCCCTCTTGCTCCCTGCCACAGAATTTAGCAGTGAGAAGGAGAGGCAAACAGCAGCAGCATTGAATTCCTGGGCTCCAGAGATGGGCGAAGGTATTGGCTTCAGTTAAATCCTGCACTGATATGCTGGTGAGCTCACACCAGTTACAGGCAGACAAGGTTCTTTGGGTAAATTCATAGATCGTAAGAGGCTGGAAGGGACCTTGCAAGATCATCGGGTCCAGCCCCTCTGCACTGGTCAGGAAGACAATTGGGGTCAAGTAACCCCAGGAAGGTGACCGTCCAGTCTCCTCTTGAAGATTTCCAGGGTAGGTGATTGTACCACTGCTAGAGGGAGTTTATTCCACAGTCTGCACACCCTGACTGTGAAGAAGTTTTTCCTAAGGTTGAACCTGAAATAGTTTTCCAGGAGTTTGTAGCCATTACTCCTGGTTTTCCCCAAGGGTGCCTTGGTGAACAATTGTTTGCTGAGCCCTTGATGTAGTCCCTTGATACAGTGGTAAACTGCTACCAATTCCCCTCTCAACCTTCTCTTTGTTAGGCTAAAGAGGCCCAAGTCCCTCAGCCTTTCCTTGTATGGCTTGTCTTGCAAGTCTCTGATCATGCGGGTGGCTCTTCTCTGGATTCTCTCAAGCATTTCCACATCCTTGTTGAAGGGTGGCACCCAGACCTGGATGCAGTACTCCAGCTGCGGTCTCACCATTGATGGCTCTTGTCTCAAAAGCCCTGTCAACCCTACAGCTCCTAATAGTCCAGTGCTTTGCCCCTGCTGGCTGCTAGCATGGCTTGCCCTGCAACCAAATGTGATATATTTTATTAGATCAACTTCTTTTGTATGGAAAAAATGGTGTCCATATCTTTATCTTTGTCCGCTTTGGCATTTTTGTTGATTTGGGAGCTCTTGCCTGTCAGAGACGTAACCAGGGAGCACTACGTGGAAGTGGCTCATTAGACCAACTAAATAGTTGGAAAAATTGTTCTTTGCAAGCTTTTGGGTACAAACACCCTTCTTCAGGCAGAGGGAGAGTTTGCAGTTGTTTTGTCTCCCTCTGCCTGAAGAAGGGTGTTTGTACCCAAAAGCTTGCAAGGAACAATTTTTCCAACTATTTAGTTGGTCTAATAAAAGATACCACATTTACCCAAAGAACCTTGTCCGCCTATGTCCTAAGACCAACGTGGTTACAACCAATACCCCCCCACACCAGTTATAGGTCATTCACACAGGCTTCATGGGCCATAGTTATGTGCCTACTTAGCTCTGCTATTGGGTGGAGCCCCACTGGAATGCACAGAACCCCTCATGGAGTAGCGGAGAACCTGTGCACAAATATTTGCAGGATTGGGCGATATATTTGATTTTCGCTCCCATTTTGTTACATTTTTCCCTCATCCACCCAGTGACTTTGGCAAGTGAGTTAAATTTTTGATAAGTTTCAGCACTGCAAAAAAAGAAAAATAACAATAGGAAAGGGGCAAGAAAAGAGAAAAGTTGACTTGATTCATTTCAGTGGCTTCGGTAGGAAAATAAGAACAGGCAAAGATAGTAAAATAAAACCAATGTTTTCATGAAGGATTTGGTGACAAGTTTCTGAAATACTGACATGATATACATTTCCAGATCCAAAATGGCTTTCAAATTGTTGGCATATTTTGCTATTTTATTTTCATTGTCAGCCAGCTGGCATAGTGTTAAATATAAGCTTCTGGAGTTACTTTGTAGAATGCTGAGGCTAGTTATTTATGTTGTATATCAAGTATTCCTTTAGCATCCATGGAACCAGCCCTTTTTATTTTAGTGTTTTTTCTTTGATGGTGGGCATCATGTAGCTTTAAGATTTGGGTTTACCTCCTTCATTAATTCATGAGGGGAAAAAACAGTGTTGGATAAGGAACTGGCTGGAATCTGGAGCCTTGGGTTCAGTTGTCTGTGTTTGCTACTGGCCTATTGAACAAGTCCTTTTTCTCTTTATGGCTCTGTTTTCTCATCTGCAAATCGAAGCTAATCTACTGACTCAGTGTGAGGCGTAAAGCCAGTGCCACATAAGAGTAGGGTTGCTCGAGTGACCCAAAGGGCTTCATGTAGACCAGCCGGAGCGAAAGTAGATAAGCCTGATGGTGGCTGCTCATGGAGGAGGGCGGGTTGCGAGTGGTCCAGAGAGGGGCAGTGTGAAAGAGTCCCTGTGAGAGGGTCAGAGTGTGTGAGTTGGATGCTACAGGCCCAGCAAGGGGCAGAGTTTAGCTCAGCCTCGGGCCAGAGCTGCTATGAATTTGCTATGCCATCCGTGAGGCATGGGACATGGTATAGGGAAGGACAGAGCCATGGACAATGCCCTAGGCATTGGGGCATTCAGTGGCTAGCCTTCCACATTCAACACCCAGTTTATTAAACCAAGTTGTGGCAGGTGAGACAGAGCAGCTGCCCTAGACAGGTAGGCAGGCCAATGTTGAGACCTGGCCCAAGTTTAATGCTAAATTAAGAGATGTTATCTGCCTTCTGTTACCTGTCCAGTGTGAGGCATAAGGCCAGTTACCTGCCTTCACTCTGACTTCTTGTTATTGATTTAGTTATAATTAAATAATTACATATTTTTATCACTTTTGCTGATTAGGAACTCTGCCATTTCTACAGCCTATTGCCTAAATCAGTTAAGAATATATCTAGTTCAGCTTTGGTATTTACAAACACATTAAGGAGCTGGAAGTGGTGAATTCTGCTATTTATTACACATTGGTCTAGAAGTAAATGCCATGGCAGGGAGAGATGGGTGCACAGAAACAATAGGTTCTACCATGCATTGTGCCACTTTAATCTCAGTAAAACACAACTCAAGCATTGCACCTTGGGCCCTATAGAGTGGACTCCATCATTAATTGCCCTATTTTAAGGTTAAGGGGAGTTTTGCTTTTGGTAGGATTGATGTGTCCCTTACACAACCAACAAGGTGGCATCCCAGCCTCTGTAGCTAGAATGACTGTGGCATCTTCAGTGCTACCAGCCCTGCTTGACCACACTTCTGTGTTCCCTCTCCAAGGCTCTTTGCTGTGAAGTGCGGAGGGTGCTTCGAAACCATCGCCCCCAGCGAATTCGTCATGCGAGCCCAGAAGAGCGTGTATCACCTGAACTGCTTCTGCTGCTGCGTTTGTGAACGGCAGCTGCAGAAGGGTGATGAGTTTGTCCTGAAGGAAGGTCAGCTGCTGTGTAAGAGTGACTATGAGAAGGAGCGGGAGCTGCTCAGCCTGGTGAGCCCGGCTTTGTCGGATTCCGGTAAGGGGGAGCACTGTATTGAAACCCATCCTATTCTCATCCACCCACCCCTGTAACCTGTCCAGATCTAGTTGTAGCCTGTCCCTCTCTTCTAGTGTGCTTACTTCTCCACACATCTTAGTGTAATCCACGAATTTGAACAAGGTGCTTTTCACCCCCTTGTCCAAGTCACTGATGAAGATGTTGAACAGTGCGGGCCCGAGGACCGAGCCCTGGGGGACCCCACTGCCCACATCCCTCCAGGTCGAAAATGACCCGTCCACCACCACTCTCTGGGTGCGGCCCTCCAGCCAATTTACAACCCATCTGACTGTAGGCGTCGACACCACAGTCACCTAGTTTTTTAATGAGAATGAGGTGAGAGACAGTGTCGAAGGCCTTCCTAAAGTCCAGAAAGACTACGTCCACCGCAACACCTGTGTCCAAGGATTTTGTGACCTGGTCGTCGAAGGCCACCAGGTTGGTATGACAGGACCTGCGTCTAATGAACCCATGTTGATTGCCCCTAAGCATAATCTCCCCTGCTGGTCCCTTGCAGATGTGCTCCTGGATAATTTTCTCAAAGAGCTTCCCCAGGACTGAGTCTCACCAAAGTCAGCAGAGTGAGGCACTAAAGATGAGAACGGTGAATGGAGCTGGTATCTGTACCCAAGCCCATTTCAGGTTTTGATTAAACTAATGTCATGCATGGGTCTGAAATCCATTGTTCACACATGTTCACAGGAGGTATAGTTACAGGGAAAAGTGTGTAAGCAGCAAGTACTGAAGCAGGTTAAGGAGACCCAGTCAAAACCTAGTAGCAAATTGGAAGTAGGTTGTTACTACAGAATCTGTCCCAGCTGCATAGCCATGTTTTATATTGATGTAAATGTGTCATGTACCCGGGTTCTGTGCGTGTGCATCCCAAAGAGTTTACAGTCTAAAAGCAAGTGTTATTATTAGGCATCATGCTCTAGTGGGCAGCCCTCTGACCTATCCATGACTGGCTTTAGGCAAGTCATTTCCCGTCTCTGTGTTTTAATGTCCACATATGCAAAATGGGTATGTGGGGATTGTGAAGGTGGCTGCCTTTGCAAAGTACTTTGAGGTTTATGGATGAAAAGAGTTGGTGGGTTCTTTGTTATCAATAGGCCTGTGCGAAGTGGCTAGTATTTGCTTTGGATTTGGATTAAGCCGAATTGGGGGAAAGTGATTCAATTCAGTGATTCGAATCACTGTCCCGAATTGATTCAGCTGAGTCTGATTCAAAGATTTGGCTGCTGCCGAAGCAGCCAAATTTCCAAATCGCACAGGCCCATCCCACCCGCCCGCTCTCCCTGCCCCACCTGGCTCCAGCTCCTGGCTCTTTAAAAAAAAGCCTGCACTCACCAGGTGCTGCCAGGCAGGAGGGGAGCGATCCCTGCTGCCCCCCCACTGCCCATGCCACAAGAGGGACTCTGCCACAAGCCCCCTGCCCCTCCCCCCATGGCTGCCCTGCCCGCCTCAGGTCCTGGCCCTTTAAAAACAAAAAACCAGAAACCTTTGACTCACCGGCTCCTGCCCAGTGGAAGGGACAGGATGATCCCTGCTGCTCCCCACTGCCCCGCAGTGTGTGGGGGGTTCTTCCACAAGCCCCCAGAAGCCCCAAGGCCACTACAGCAGCCGGTGAGACTGGGGTTTTGGGGGTTTCTTGTTTTAAA